CTCTTTTGGCGAGACAATAAGGAATATTTGTTTTGTGTAATACCGTTGGCAAGATCGGAAGTTCAAATAATGATGTGTAAAAGTAAGTGGTTATACAGGTCGGTGTCCAATGCGGCCGTGTTATTGATATTGTTTTCGATTTCCTCATCTGTATTTATAAATCAATGGATATGTTGTATTACATTTGCTCTGGTTAAATAAAATAAGGATATTTCTCGAAATATGTTGGTTTACACTGTTTTCACACTGCCTTGTGTAAAGTAATGGAAAGCATGAGTTTGAAATGTTAACACGCAGCATGTTACTGATACAGATAAAGGTCCATTGTACGTTTCCGACTATATCATTAGCATGCGTTTATAAATCAGTTAGTAATGACACCATGTGATGATATATGATAGTATACTGACCCATCAGTGGCAACCGTTACAAGCAAGGGCAAGTCAAGTGTCCACCTTAACAGACATAGGAACATATGGTACAAATCAAAATAGGGAATTGCCTCGTTATCTCTTACCCCAACCTTAGCAATTAATTATATTTGCGTGTGTGGTGATGGGTTAATCGTAATCTGAACATTTCTTCTATTTATTATCTATTACGTCATAATATCACTTAAAATATAATATATTTGTTTATGAGACAAATGTTGTTTCAAATATGTGATATGTCTGTAGCTTACGGAAGCCTTTTAGGGCCATTTGTTTTTTATATTTTCTTCTTGAAATTTCAAGATACTAAGTTAAAATTTCAAGATACTAAGTTAAAGTTTCAAGATACTAATTTGAAGTTTCAAGATACTAATTTGAAATTTCAAGATACATTGGTTGAAATTTCAAGTTAATATCTTAATATTTCAACTTAGTATCTTGAAATTTCAACTTACTATCCTCAAATTTCAACATAGCATCTTGACATTTCAACTGAGTATCTTGAAATTTCAAGATACTTACTTGAAATGTCAATGTTATGTTTTCGCCGAGACATATGACAACTGCCCCTGCTGCAAAACAATACGTTGAACGCTTTTCTTTACCTATGAGCAGCAGAATCTCTGCAGACATAATTCAGAATTAACATATCGATTTTAGTTTTGACAAAATCGGTAAATGTATCACTGGGTTTTCTGGTCCATCACTTGATTGTCTGGTCTGTTTACAGACCGCCGTCGCATTGCAGGGGTACTACCGTGCAGTGTATGGCAACAAACACTTACTCTTTTCATGCAAGTTGTGTGAGTGGCGGTGGTACCGGTAGATCAGGTCATGCTTACCCTCTTCGCGAACATCTGGTGTTCCCGCTGATTTTCAGGGATCCTTTCATATTTTTGTTACGGCTTATTTTGCCTTTTACGCACAATGGAATTTGTTTCGATGGATAATCGAAACAGTTTATTCTCTGGCGTTGATGGTGTATATTGTGGAGGTTGTACATGCATATGTAATTCGAGTAATTTCCAACTTATTCATTTACTTCCTTGTATGTGTCTGATGTTACCGTCGAGGCGTAATGTGCATACCGTTGTGTTTAATTTCCGATGTGTGTGCATTAGTTGTATGTAAATTCCTTTTGGTTACATGAGCGGTATAACGTTTCATCGGTTAAAACAGATGAATAGTACAATCCCATTTCATGGATGTATTTACTGATTGAATCAATCAATCTATCAATTCACCATTTCTTTTGATGGTTGTTGTTTAACTCCAACCATTGAATGAAAAAAACATACAGAGGTTAAAAATATAACTATAACCTTTTTCCTGATTTGTCTCTGAGTGACTTGGCCTTTTGGGATACGCCATGTACGTGGTGTTGAGTAAAGGTGAAAATTTCCTTTCATATATTTGTTTAGAACTAATTTCCATTATATCCTTATAACATAACTATAAGCACATGTAATAAGACCGTAGGAAAAGGATGTATTATAAATAATGTTAATATGCTTTATTAACATAAATGAGTGTGCAACCAAATACAAAGAGAAAGTTGGAGTGCATATTGAAACAAATATGTATTTGTTTCTTTCATCAAAACAAAATCTTCGACATTTACATTCGAATTACACAAGCACGACTCTGGGAAAATAGTTACCATATGAGATATCACACATAAATCCGAAAAAATAGGTTGGTTCAGGTGTTTTTTCTTTTCAATCCCACTTGATCAAATAAATTGTCATTTTGACAACTCTCTACATATAAAGGAAAGCAAACGAAGGCCATATACACCATATATATATATACACACAAGATTGACAATAAACATAATTATTGTTGAAGGTGACAACGACACAACATTTGTAGATGATATAGTAAAATTGCAGTCACACGGGTCAGGGGATTTTCACTGACAGACAAGTTTATCTCATTGACAAGTATGTGATAACGGCGTGTAGCCAGTGTCTGGTGGGGGTGGATTCAGTTGTTCGTAGCCCCTCTCTTCCACAGAGGAATCGTTATTCATATCCGGAATTACGGCATACCGAGACCCTTCACTGTCACGTGATCCATTGAACTCTTGCAGTGAGATTTCGTCTGGTCTGCTGTCAGGGTTGCTTGGTGATAAATATATACCTCTTTGGAAGACTTGGCACCATGCACACACTCTCTTCCTGAAATACATTTATTCAAGTTAAAATGGTTGGTTGGTTGGTTGTTTTGTTGTTTAACGCCGCACTCAGCAATATTCCAGCTATATGACGGCGGTCTGTAAATAATCGAGTCTGGACCAGACAATCCAGTGATTAATATCATGAGCATCGATCCACGCAATTGGGATAGATGACATGCATCAACCAAGTCAGCGAGCCTGACCACCCGATCCCGTTAGTCGCCTTTTACGACAAGCAGAGTCACCTTTTACGGACAGCATGGGTTGCTGAAGACCTATTCTATCCCGGAATCTTCACCGGTAAAAGTGTACAATAATACATATGCAAGGCTTCAGATATACAGAAATCAAGAAGAAAGGATTTATGTAAATATTGTAGGGTTTGGAGATATGATAATGCCAACTACCTTGGACACAAAAGTTTACAACGGCTTTATTATGGATTGTTCCGTTCAGTTTAATTGAATGTGTTATTGTATTGGCGTGACTTGGCGTCAGTTCCTTCGTCTGTTTGATAAAGCGTTTACAAGGTCTCACCTCGCGATCATGACTGCAATGACAAAGAGGAGAACTCCAAGACATGCTGACAAGACGACGATCACCCTGTGAAAGGACTGGACGTAGGACACTGAAAGTATGATTAGATCAACAATAACATTCTAATATAAAATAAACCCTCGTGGTCAAAATATCATGACTAAAATCTTTTTTTCTTGAGATGAATTCAGAACTCAATCTCTCACTCAATCAATATATGTCAATATAAAAAAGTAGCTTTTGCTGGCAGCTTTCGCTTGTCACGCCGTAGACACGGGTTCGATTCCCGACATGGGTACAATGTTTGAAGCCCATTTCTGGTGTCCCTCCCTGGAATACTGCTAAAGCGGCGAAAAATCATACTCACTCACTCACTCACTCAGTGTATTTCTTTGTAGAGATTTGCTTACTGATCTAATGAAACGTTTGTTTCCATTTATATCATTTTGAAGCATGCAACGTCACAGGGAAGCATTAACAGGGAATATGAAAACAGTCTTTGTCGAATATCCTATTCTTGTCGGACGGGAAAACATCTAACAGCAAATAAACAAACCCACTCACTAACCCCCAGACCGTTTTGATATTTTGATTGAAATATCTTGTTTATACAATGAAAATGGCCTAGCTTCTAAATGGATTCTTATAATTTTCTGTTTGACAATAAATGTTCATGATTGCATTTCTGTACAACACTCTTTAGATTTCCTACACGTTTTACACGAAAATTTTACACGAAAGTAACTATTTTGCCAACTGTACTATTTACTTTGTAAAGTGTTACACAGTTCCGATAATAACTTAAATGAGCCTGATATCAGTTATATACTGTATCCTGTGCCTTTCTGATCTGTAATGTGTGTGGAGAAATAGTGAAAATAAACAAATACAATTAAATGGACAAGTAACAAATGTTTGACCAAAGTAGCCACCTTGACCACCAGGGGTACATAACCCCGTAATGTTACTACTGCAGGACTTGTTACAGGAGTATAAGTGATGCTCACATTTCAGACAGGTACCCGTTCTTCTGTTACAGGTTGTACAGTGGGCAGGACACTCACTGTCACAGTAGTCTCCCCACACTCCATCTTTACATCCCAAAGTACAGGCAGGTTTACTTCCACCTGGGTAGGTAGTGGAACATTTCATGTCTGCGCAAATGCTACTGCATGTGAGGTTACAGTATTGACCATAGGAACCATCTATGCATCCATCTGCACACGAACCGTTGTCTCTGCTACATATGTCAGTAGCGCAGTTCTCAGGACATTTAACATCACATGTGTCTCCATGCCAGTCGGAAACACAACCATAATAACATGTCCCGATGTTCTGACTGCATGTTCTATTCAGACAATTGTCGCTGCATTTCTCCTGACCCTGCGTTTTGAAGTATCCTGGTTTACAGGGACTGCAACTCCCATCTCTACTACATGTCTCACTACCACAGTTCCTGGAACACTTCTCCCGGCATTCTTTACCATAATGTCCCTTTACACACGCCATGCATGACCCATTCTGGTAGCATGTATCGTGTAGACATTGGTCACTGCACGCTGTATTGCAATCCCTACCAAACATGCCCTTTATGCATCCAAGTGTACATGCTCCTATTGTGCTATTGCATGATGCATTAAGACAATTTGTAGCGCATTGATTGTCACATTTCACTCCATATAAGTTCCCCCTACATCCACAGATACAAGAACCATCTCCACGGGCACAGTTTGAGGCTCCATCCCCACAGAGGCCACAGTGGTCACAGTTGATTTCACACCGTCTTCCATATCTACCCTCAGTGCAACCAGGAACACACTCCCCTGACCACTGATAGCAACTCAGACTCTAACATGAATCCCCACATTGTTTGTCACATGCTTCTCCCCATCTTCCAGTTACCGGACATGTTCTTGTACATTCATCATGGTCATCTTGAGTTTGTCTCTGGCATTCAGTACAAGAGTCGCCATTCCTGTACATACCAACTGCACAATCTGGAGAAAATAGAAACCATCTTTTTGTATAACAAACGTAAGTTATAGATTAATATCTTCATTTCGTAACGCTGTTCATGCAAAAGCAAAATAGTACTTACAGCTAAAGATAATATGGATTTTAAATATTTTAGATGTGACCCCGCTACTTTGAAACGTATTTCAGTTATATCTGAATCGGTATTAGGGTGTTGATAAAGAAAGGATATAATGTGACAGCATCTGGGATTCGAAACCACGAACAAATGGACTAAAGGACGGAACTCTGTAGCGAATTGTATCACGCAGGCTATAGACATCTATGTCTTCTCAAACAGGAACTATTCCGGTAATATATGACAGCTTGCGCAAGCATATTTATCTTTTCTCTAGTTTCAAATGAGTTAAAGGAGAGCCATATTAGTCCTTGGAAAAGCTTGTGTGAACAGTTGGACATATACATCAGCTTAATGTCTTGTCTGACTGGTACTTGTACGGTACAAAAATAGGGTAGATCTACAGTGAAACTCGACTAATCCGGACGGTACCATTCCAGAAAAATCGTTCACAGTCACAAAAAAATTCCGGATAAAGGAGTTATGGTTAGATGGTAATGTCACATAATGATATATTATATTAAAACATTATTCGCCCTGGGCGCGATGTTTCACTAAAGTTCTGAACTTTCTACAAAGGTACGGTCTTTTTTCACTGTGTATGCGTTTATTAACCAAATTTCTGTTTACGAATAGCGGATGCTAAAACTCATAGTTTTACACTGTATAGCGAAGTAGTTGCGCTATCTTTAAAGTTAATCTGTTCCCTGGAAGGTTTTTCCTCACAGTTTGGAAGATATTGGATATTATAATTTACCTTTTATGGGTACATTTCTCGGCAGAATAAACGGATGAAAAAATTCTTAGGACACGTGGTAACCCTGGACATGTCACTGTGCTTCTTTAATTAATGAAAAAGTAGTTGTTTACCGCAACACTAAGCTGTATTCCAGCAATATGACGGCAACCTGTTAATAATCGTGTTTGACCAGAAAATGCAGTGACTGATAACAAGAACAACGACCCATGCCGTTGGGTCACGATTAAACCTAACCAACCACGTCACCGAGGCTGACCACTCGATCCACTAAGTCGCTTCTTATGATCAGCATATGTTGATTAGGTTGATAACTATTCTAAACCGGAATCACCATGCAATGGCTTAAAAAATGAAAATAATAACGACATAACTAGAACTACAAATAATATACAGAACTCTAAACTGTCGATCTGTGTGTGTTAGTGTGTGTTAGTGTTAGTGTTAGTGTTAGTGTTAGTGTTAGTGTTAGTGTTAGTGTGTGTGTGTGTGTGTGTGTGTGTGTGTGTGTGCTAGTTTGTGTTTGTGTGTATGTGTGTGAACCTTTGTATTTTGGGATATATTCCAGTGCCTACTGAATAATTAGGAACAGGTACACGTATGTGCTTCTGACAGCTGGACTAACTAATTGGCCAAAGGGAAGTTGTCCTTATGGTGGCGATTCAAGGTCACTAGTACCTGATGCTTGTCAGTCCGAAATTAGAATTGGAACAGTTGGAACCGATTGGCCAGGATCTTAGACTTGGCTGCGAAGGTGTCCTTGTACCAAGGTAGCATTGAAGGGTGACACCGCGTTAAACCTGGAATATTGCGGACTGCGGTGTTGATATATCAACTATTAAAGGGGTTTTGATACGTTCTGTATGTTCTCTGTACAATATTAACTAATACTACGAGTGTTGTAGCGTGTCCTGCGGGTCGGTTTGGGGCAGACTGTAGACCATGCGGGAACTGTAGGGAAAGATCCGTCTGTGAGAAGACCACTGGACTGTGTATGAGTGGATGTAGCCCTGGTTACCTGGGAGCATACTGCAGAGATGGTAAGATACAAATAGAAACGTTTTTGCATCCACATTTCTAAAATAATTCCCTAGAAACTTTTCATACCGCCTTTTACTTCCAGTGTGCTACCATTACCCTGACTCCAGTAAACATAATGAGTCTAATAATCTAATAATATCACTTCCGGTTTGGTAATACACATGTTTAATGCAAAACAACTTAAAAACAGAAAGTATCATGTCGGTAACAACATTATCAACAAAGTTACATGCACACCCGGGAAATATACTTTTTGCAAAGTGCCACTTTAAAACAGAACATCCTATGCCTCGAACACAACGTTAAAGAGAAAGCTATATGTTCTTCCGGTTTAAGGACAGCGCTTTTGGGAAAATACAATGCAATCAAAGTTCATGCCTATTGCTGCTTTATTAAGAAGGTTCAATGCATATCCGATGAAAGTATATAAAAGTGCGACTTTAAAACAGAAATACCCTATGCTTCTAACAACGTTAATGAGAAAGTTACATGCTCTTCGGGTTTCGGGACAGGCTTCCAGTTTCCGAAAATACAAATCAATCTTAAAACATGAAGTCTTATTCCTGTAGCTACAATATCAAGAACGTTACATGCTCTTCACGGGATCTACCTGAAACAAACTGTTGATTGCTTTCCCGCCTGTTGTGCTTGTTTGATACCAGCTGTTTAACAGATTAGTATTAAGATCATTTCCAACAATTTCATCCTTGGTTTTGTCAGCATGTACGCCCGGCACACATGGAGAGAACTGTGAGTCCAAGTGTGGGAACTGTGCTGGAGTGGCCTGTGATCCTATCAGTGGAAGCTGCCCACAAGGATGTGAAGGTGGTTGGCATGGAACAGATTGTAAAGCAGGTGCGGTTTGTTTGGTTTCCATTCAGAATGTTAAAGAATGAAAGTATTTCATGGGCAATAATGTGCTTGTAAAAAAATAAATTCTTCTAAATTAATGGCATTTCTAGGCGCTCCGAATGTATCGTATCCTCTAACAGCTCTGGACAATAATGGCCCCTTCTGTGTCCGTATTTACTTTCTAATTAATGAAAACAGTCAAGCTTCGGAACATTTAAAACTTGTAGGTAAATAGGAATATGCATTTTAAAACTATCCTGCCTGACTGAAGAAATATGTTACGTGAACATACTTTTAGAGTCAGAAGTATTTATATACATTTAATTTGTTAAGTGTAGCTATTGCCAATCAGAAATTGTACCTATTAATCAATGAAACGTCGTAAGGGAGGTAACCTGATGGGGTAGACCCTGTATGTTACCATTGTTGGCAGCGTGTCCTGCGTACACCTATGGAACTGGATGTACTGCCTGTGGTATGTGTGCTGCGAGAATGGCCTATGACAAAGGTTCAGGAGCCTGTCCAGCTGGATGTCGCGCAGGGTGGACTGGAAACAAATGTAACAGTCGTGAGTAACATGCAACTGTATCCCAATAGTTATATCGTAGCAATAAAATTAAAGTCCATTAATCCAGAATTCCCAGTCAGAGCTCTTTGTCTGCCTAAAGAGTCGAATAAAATAAAGATGTTTCACTTTGCTATTTGTGTTTGGTGGTCGTGATATAGCTGTAATGCTGCTAGCGTATAAGATACTTACACACTAACTCACTTACTTAATGCATAATAATCAAATTTATTATTTATAACATTATTTGTTCACATTTTATCTTTAAGGACTGCTCGGGAAAAGGTGCACTGCACAAACTAAGTATATGCAACTTTCACATTATGATCAATCATCTGAATCAGTATTTATGTATGTCAATTCAGCATGTCTCCCAAATACTCACAGCGCTTGTGAACCATGCGGTCAGTGTGCTGGTGGTGTTCCTTGTGACAAGATCTCAGGGCTCTGCTCAGTTGGATGCCAAGAAGGCTGGAGTGGGTCTCTGTGTAAAACACGTAAGTAAACTAAATATTTAAGTGATTTGTATTTTCGTTTAGTTAAAGTCTTCAAATAAAAAAAATGTATTCAATTTCAAATTCAAATAACTAAATTCTACCATGTCATAATGTAACATGCATTTATAAACAGTGGACTTGGGAATGACCATTTGAAACATCAAATTTAAAAAGAACAGAGATTTGACATATCCTTGTTAAAAGTATAGAACGTGTTGATGATATCAAAAGAAAATGTAAGGGTTCTTTACGCTATGCTTTTGATAAATAATCTATCTATTTGAAGCGTGCACACCTGGAACACACGGAGCAGGATGTCTATCACTTTGCTCCCACTGCAAAACAGGAAGTGTGTGTCATCAGGTGACTGGTCAATGCCCGGAAGGTTGTCAACAGGGATGGAGAGGCGCTAAATGCGACGAGGGTACGTTCACTCAAAACAGTCATTGGTATTACTGAGGGAAGGGGAAACAGAAGACGACCATGGGACCCGTTATTCCACCCGCCTCCATATTCTTCCGGAAATATAACACTGTTCGTCGAAATGTAAAAGAATGCTCTTGATCAGGATACCTCGAGTGAAAATAAAATTGTATAATATATGTTGTGTCTGAAATCATCCTGTCAATTCGTATTTCTATTTTGAGAAGCAATCAAATATTTGTGAACAGGAAAGGATATTGAATAGCAGTTCAGTAATTAACAGTTCCACGTATATGATTATTCTTTAGGGTTCACCTACAACTTGACCACTGACCATTTTGTTTTTAAAACCATCTGAACATAAACTATAGGAAAACATATCAAATTTATACCCTCCATGTCCCTTAAAAGACTTGAAGAGGCGACTGACGGGATCGGGTGGTCAGGCTCGCTGACTTGATCGATGCATGTCATGGATCCCAGTTGCGTGGATCGATGCTCATGAAATGACTGGATTGTCTAGTCCAGACCGTCGTCATATAGCTGAAATATTACTGGGTGCGGTGTTAAACAACAAAACCACTACAAAATATTCGGAAAATACATTTAAGAATCAAGCAGTTGCCGCCAAATACATCTTTATGAGGAAGTTGATAAAAGACGTATTCAGAATCAATTTCTTATACTTTTGATAGGTAATAAATGATATGTTATCTCTCAGGTTAATAGCTTCACGGATAATTACGTTTTTGTGTGATCTTGCCCTTACAGTAATAGAGAATGCAGATTTTAATACGTTCTTTCATGGCAAGGAATTTAGGATGTATCAATTTCCTTCTTGCTCTTGGCATTCCAGGTGTTGGTGAAACCGGGGATGAGACAAACAACACATCTCTTCTAAGTAAGAGATTTATAAACACTTATGTTTACATCGTCCGAGTTCATCCAACCTTTAAATGTAACCAGTCTTCAAATAAAAACATGTTTTCTCGGGGGAAATGTAACGAATGTATTACAAAGTAAATGACATTGTGTGGTTATAAGCAGATAAGATTAAGTGACAGAGACATAATTGAACGTCACAATTTATTGGCCATTTCATTCAAAAAAGTATCACCAATGAGCATATTTGTATCTCATTACAAGTAAAGATGTGAAGGTATTCATATCAATCCCACGAGCTTCCAACGAACCATGCATTAACCAAAACACGACCATTATTTCAGTTGGAGTTATTGGAGCGTCAGCTGGGGTTGTTGTCCTACTTGTAATCATCGCCATAATTGTTGCCACAGTCGTATTTGCCAGGTAATGTCATGTGACCTTCTCATCGTATGTACATTAACAGCACTTGTTTAAAGTTCAACATGAAATACCTTTGAATGTGATTAACACGTGTTTTGTCAAAAATGAAAGCAAATGTCATCTTAGTCTAGTAGAAATTGCATTGGACTTGAACATTTCTGATAACTGGCCAATTTTTTGTTTAAACTCACCAGAAAGGGTGTTACTTACTGGTCACCATAGAATAAACCCAAAGAAAATAAAGATTGGACAAGTATATTTCTTTTGCACAATTTTGGAGGTGGGGTCTGTTGTCTTTTCACACAAACGACAGCAGGCTGTTGTCATGGCGAGAAAGTACATGTTAAAATATGCTTTTGTCTTCATTCTTATCAGTATTTTCATGTCTCAAAAAGCCTTATTTGATTAAATACAAATTATTTTTGATCATTTAGTCGTTGTCGGCCATCTTGAATTCAAGATGGCCGCCATCTTGAATATTGAGCTGGACTGTCGTTCCCACTTTTCCTGTATACCTACAACCTTTTCTATTGCATAAAGGAGGTAACTGTACACATCTTTCATTGGGTGGTGAGCTTGCAAGCGTGTGCATTGATTTTCAGGGGGTCAAAATTGCATTAATTAAAGGGACAATGCATAACTTGGCAAAATTGGCTGTAACATATTTGTTATTAAGTTATCAAACTATCCAAACTATGTTTTCGATAACAGGCAATATGTTAGGTTATTTGAATTTGGCAAATATTTTGTTTCATTTTAAATGTTATTCTAATTCACAGTCAAAACATTGATAAAAATGATGTTTTTTTTACTTCATTTTCAAAACCTTGTGAGAAGGTAAAACACTGATACGATTGAATTGTGATAATAAAACCACTATAACTGTATATCACAGAGTGCCTGCTCTATTCCATACAGAAAACAAAATAAAAATATATCATATTGCGGCTGAGATATTGTACAAAATGTCACCCCACACCCCAAAGAACAATTTTGATGAAAACTGCTTATTGAGAAGGTGATGATAATTGTAGCAATGCTTAAAAACATCAAAATAGTAGGTCATAAAGGCACCCAATCGCCGGCACACAAAGTCAGCGATCTAACCCACAACAATTAAAGTCTGACAACTGGTAGTCTAGATCACGTACCTTGTGTACCCCTCTGACAAGTGTTAATTGGCAGGGCTCAAATGGCAGAAAGCTATGAACACACAATGTCATTTAGAAAGTGGTCAAATGTAACAAATGTTATATTTGGGATATACCTTTCTCAGTAAAGTACAGATTCTCGAACATTTTAGGGTTGAGTCCCGTCCGGGATTCGGTCCGACACTGCCAGAGTGAGGCACCTAATCGCCAGCACACAAAGTCAACGATCTAACCCACTCAGCCACCGAGTCTTCCTCAAAAATGAAAGTCTGACTTCTGGTAGTCTAGATCACGTACTTTGTGTACCCCTCTGACAAGTGTAAATTGGCACGGCTCCAATGGCCGAAAGCATTTTTGTGGAAACCTCGTTGGCTGAGTGTGGCTGAGTGGGTTAGATTGCTGATTTACTTCATGACAAATCTGTTCTTTTATGCACAGCGTCAACAAAAAGTTCACAAATTGTATATGAATTAATTACAATAACATTAAGAAGGGATATCATGTACACCGTGTCTCGTGTTGATTGCGTATTATCGCACCTCGATCGTGTGGATCGTTGCTGACAATATCAATCACTGATTTGCCTGGTAATGGCCTGATTATGTACGCGCAGCCGTCATACACGTGCAATATTGTTTAGTGTGGCGTTGAACAACAAACAAGCTTTAATATTCAAATTTAAGGTGTTACGATAAAAGGAAGAATTACACTCTTATCAACTAATGTAAGGGGATATAGCGGAGTACAAACTATGTGCTGGATATTACATTGATAGAGCTTTGGTATAGTTCGTATTTAGCTGATTACATTGTGGTTTGATGTAGGGTTTAATAAACCAGCATGTATGTACGTTACCCATTCATTAACATTTTCTGATAGTATTTGATGCTGATCGTCGTTTGAATCTTATATATCTTTGTGTTTATTATTTGTGGTATACCAACCAATAAACGCTTGGGAATGTTCATTGAAGAATCGATCGGAATCGGATCTGACATAACACAGAGGTGTGTGTGTAGGGGTATCTTATAGAACCATATAAACACCAAATATATATTATTTATAGCACCTAAATCCGTTTTAAATATATTACCACTTCCCTAATTTTTATATTTATAATCCATCTACACAAATCCACCTGTTAATATGCTAATTGAGCAAAGATAAACATTATTGTTTAAGCACTAGTTTTGGAAGTGTATTGTCTCTATATATGTCAATGCAAGCTGGTGTCCATTAGATTTATACATACAGAATCGAGCATGCTCTTTCTTCCAAAATTTCAAAGAGCGTCATACGAGTCTTGCTCAGAGGTTATTTCATCAAGGGTACACCATTCAAAGCCATTTTAAGGCTTTAAGGAGTGTCATATGGAGGACATTTCCAAATTTGACGCATTCCCTATTTTTATTTTTTGACTTGTACCATAAATATAGTTCCGTGTTTGTTCTGTTGAACATTTCACTTGTCTTTGCATTTTTATCTTTTTATGTTATCGCGAATATCTAGACTCATTACCAATTGATAGTGATTCATAAAAACAGAGTCGATTATGATGTAGTCGGAATAGTACGACGGCGTCTACCTTTAACAGATATGTCTTATGTTTATGGAAATGTTTTATCTTGGTTTTATCTTTAACAGGCGAAAGCGACGTACTCGACAGCAGAGCATCGATCAATACGACACAGCCGATATGGCCAGGCGGCCGAAGATCTTCCGCGCGGCCACAGACCATTGCCCTGCCTACTAAAGCACTATGGGACAAATCCCTGCTCCACCCTCCCGTGCTTATCCTTCCCAAGCTGATGAGTGCATTCAAATGCGGTACATGAGTAACCCCACTGAACAGTCAACTGAGGAGCACGATGACCATTTGTATGAATCGCCAGTTTTTTAGGCAGACATGAGGAACTGGGAACAGGTTTCCTCAAGAACTCACCATTGGGTGACACATACTGATTTTAAGGTCCTTATTTTTTATTACACTTATCACATTTCTTGTACATTTCCTGATCTTATAACAGACTTAAGGGAACCTCTGCACGGACTGATGAGTTTTTACAACTACGTTGTAGATCATTAGCATTGTGAATGTTACTGACATTATTAGCAACAATGGGGAAATTCAGTAATGGGGACATATTCAGAGGTATTCGAATTGTTTCCTCTTGGCACACGATCTTCACATGACTACTGACTTGAGTCAAAGGAGGTTCATACAGAAATCCTTCTCCTTATAATCGGATAATCGCGAAATAGTAGTTGGAACGTTATGTTAAAACTAGTCATGGAAATATATTGCCCTATGTCAATTTTGTTCTTATATGTGTATATATAATATTGTTTCTATCATTAACGTGTACATTATTACATACAGTGCCTTATTTCACCTTTCAAAACAACACGCCTTTGTGTGATTTCTTCAAAGCCTCAGGGAAAGCTTTCAAAATGTTTTGTGGTAGTTATGTGGAGTACATTTCCAAATTTGACGCATCAGTGTCAAATATGATATCCAGTGCAATTTCTGATTTTGATTTGTACCATATGTTCGTTCGCTTTTCTCAGGTTGACTTCCCTTTGAACGTATTTGTAAATGGTGCCACCGGTGGGCCAGAATACGCCCACCTTTTCGCGAACACCTAGTATCATCACTATTTGATAGTTATTAATATTCACATGCTCATGATGCAGTCGGAATCGTACAATCGACTCTTGGCAGAGATTTCTTTTGAATATGGAAAGGGTTTTGTCGCTTTGATTTATTGCAAATTCGATTGTGGTCAATGTTCATTGAGAAATACATGCTGATAATTCAGAATTGTAATATACCATATTTGAATTTGAATGTAAATATTATAATAAAAAAACTATGAAAATAGGACAGTTGTTATTTGAGTAGGCTTTGCTATCATTTTCAAGTACAATGACTCCTATGTATTTGGAAAATGGAAAATGTTTCATTCTGTATTTTCGTTTTTCATAGAATGACTACAGCGAAATAAATTCATAAATTTTTTAACATTCCATATACATTCCATATGTTCCATAACATATCATAACCATTTTTTAAAAATAACTGGCAAGTTGTCTTGCCGACTCAATTTGTGTTCCTACCCGTGGAGAACAGGGTTTGAAAAGGTCTTCAGCAACCCATGCTTGCCGTAAAAGGCGCCTGTGCCTGTGGTAAGAGGCTACTAACGGGATCGGGTGGTCAGGCTCGCTGACTTGGTTGATGCATGTCATCGTATCCCAATTGCGCAGATCGATGCTCATGATGTCAATCACTGGGTCGTCTGGTCCAGACTAGACTATTTACAGACCGCCGTCGTATAGCTGGAATATTGCTGATTGCAGCGTTCAGTGTTCCAGTTACTGGAGGAAGTGTGGGTACTAGCATGTCTTAAGTAGACTTCAGAAACATGACATATATGCACTGATTGCTAGTCTGTTACCATTAGGTTATTGTTTATCATTTAGTGTCACCTTATTTTGGGAACAAACAGACTCAGACATGTACAGTATACCGTTTTAAAAATAAGTATGTAATACAATATTATAGATATCAAATTTCATCAACAAATATTCGGAAGCCATGAATGAATAAAGGAAACTTGAAATGATATAAAATAATTACACATGTTATAGTTAGTTGTCTGCATTGAGGCTGTAAGGGCCGATGGCCTACATCCAAGCTGAAGTAAATTTAAAGAAGATGAATTATACATAAACGACACGGATGTAGTGATGAGGAACCGTTGTCACCATATATTACATGAGCTATCATTTTGAAGAATGTGTTTTTTCCATAAAGCGCTCCTTCAAGGGTATATAGGGGCGGTCGGGTAGCACAGTGGTTAAAGCGTTCGCTCGTCACGCAGTAGACCCGGGTTCGATTTCCGACATGGGTACAATGTGTGATGCCCAATTCTGGTGTCCCCCGCCGTGATATTGCTGGAATATTGCTAAAAGCGGCGTACAACCATAATTTTGGGCAATTATGCAATGTATGCTGGCAATAAAAATTACAGTATCAACGTTCAACAAAATACGTTTCTATACACGGAAAAGTGCAATTGCTCTCAATGAAGTATAATTCCAGCAGGGGGCACGGGTGGCCCAGTCGTCTAAGGCGCCGCGATTCGCTGTGCAAAGTTGCGTCCCTTGGGCCAGAAACCTATGATTGTGGTTTCGAATCCCGGTTCGCCCCGATTATGTTTCTAGGTTTGTCAGCACCATACCCGTGCTCATGGGTTTCACCGAAGTGGTAAACGTCTAACACCTGTATCACTTTGGGCTTTCCTCTCACATAAAGCTGACACGCCGTGATATAACTGGAATACTGTTAAAAGCGGCGTTAAACCCAACTCACTCACTCACTCACTAATTCCCGCAATACTTTTTTAAAACTGTTACGATCCCATTACTTCCGTGTGGGAAATGAAGATAAGTACAGACGGAACATATTACCTAATGAAAATTTACAATTGTCAAAAAAACATCACAATTTAATGGGATTGACACTGACACAATTCAAACACTAATTCGAATAACCACACACACGTCTTAAATTTGCAAGATAATATATGGGCATCGTGTCTTTAGTTTAATGGCTTTGTTTGCGAGTAAAGTGACTTTAGAGAAGACCATGTAATGCAGACTTTTGTATGGTTGGACGTGCTTTCCCCTTGGACACCAATTGTGCATTCATGATGTCCGATGCAATTCCCAATATTGACTTGAACCATATGTGCCCGTGCCTCTTTTAGGTGAACAATTGACGGTGCTATGTTTTGATATGTTTTGTTGTGACGGGTTGACCGGTTGGGCAGGCTACGCTCAACTTTTCGCAACTTTCCTAGTATCATCACTTTTTGATAGTGATTTATAAACACATGCTCATGATGTAGTCGGAATCGTACAATCGACTGTTTTTTGGCAGAAATTTTAGTCGCTTTTATACATTTGCATCTCCTTTTCAACATGCATTGTTGAATTAGTTTCTTGATTTTTCTTCTAAGGGATCTGTTTCAGGATTGTTACGTGTAGACTTCCAAATTTATATAATAAGTTAACCCAGAATATACGTAAATAAAATCAGTATAAAACAAACAACAAAGAAATGGTATACCATTAAAAATTGTATTGTAATATTAATTAGGTGTACAAATCAATACAAAGTACTGCACAGCAATTACATTGGTAGTACACAGTAGAGTGGCAGTACAAAATCCAATGGCAGAAGAACTACAGCGGCAGTATAAAATATAATAGCAGTCATATGGTTATAATATTCACCTAGCAGTAACAGTGGTCAAGCTTTCAAAATAGGCTGGATATCCAGGGTGAAATCAAATATCTTCACACAACCGCTGGTGTTGATGTAAACTGATATCAGATAGGCACGCTCTTGACCACAGTATATAGTCAAAATACCGTCCAAAATGTTAAATACAGTGCTAGATGAGTCTACCTGTTTCAAGATTCAAGATTATACTTGATTCCAAAAGCATATAAATATATATAACTTCCACACCACTGCTAACATTAGCTAGCACTATGTCAAAACACAATGCCATGAACTTCAACAGAATCTAAACAGAAACAATGTAATTCAGTTACAACATTCTTTAAAAAATTAAAACACTGCAAAATTATAGAATAAAATATAAACCAACAAGGCCAAAGAATAAGCAGTCTCGTTTATACAGAAAAAAACCCCGATTATATTAGGCATAAAGGGCTAAACAGTTGTAACAAATATATACACGGATCAGTGAAAATCAGTGATCGCACCAGATGCTCGCAAAAAGGGTAAGCCCTACCCATATGTGGAATACGTTTGTTTCCTACGCCCTCTCCTTCAATGTATAAAGTGACAAAGTTTTGAATTTTGAACAGCGATAATGACATGATGTTACCCTGAAATCTTATATGTACAAGCATGGTACTCATTACCAATGCGGCTTTAAACAACGAACAAATCCTTCACTACAATCCTTCAAGCCCTGTCGGGGGAGGTCGCGAGGGGAGATTTTTGTCGAGGCCTTCAACTCTCGCGCGCTATTTACATTGTATCCTCTGCTTTTCTAATTCTGCCTGGTTTCGGTCGCATGTTCCGGTTCGCAATTTTACATTAACACTAAAAGTACTATATTGGACTAAAATGTATTTTTACGAGGTAAGGAGACATGAGTTTCACATCTATTTTGCTCTTTACTGTTTCCGTAATTTCTCCATACTTTATCTTTCACATCAACTTTTAATCAATACATTTGCTAATTTTTGTAAAATTCATTTGCGCACTATGATTATGTTGTATAACTACAAATTAAGTTAAACGAAATATAATAGGGCGCTTTATAGCTAAGGGAATTTGGGAGTATAAACATGTCCATGGCATTAGCGTCGGCGTTTGGTAAAGGTCGGTGCTAAATTAGAACCGGGTCTTGTAAGAACCTTACTGTTTGATGGATGCTGCGTCATGTACAGTGAAATATGTCCTGAGTAGTAGGTATTATGGCTATCGCCCGTACAACCGTCTAAATATCACATTTTACACTATCGCATAGCAACAGCAAGTCCCATGTTACTGAAACTTTATCATAAATGACCCTTGTATTGGTGTCTCTAAAACGTGTCATAATATTAAACATACCCCCTGACTTTTTGGAACAGTCATATTGAATGTCATGTCGTGGAGCGTTGTCAGTCGCCGTAAGTCGTCGTCATCTGTTCTGAACTAAAGGCCTA